GGCAGGGGGGTAGCTCAGGGTGTAGGGAGGCGGTAGCTAGGGGCTGGGTGCGGGCAGGGGGGTAGCTAGGGGCTGGGTGCGGGCAGAGGAGTAGCTAGGGGCTGGGTGTGGGCAGGGGAGTAGCTCAGGGTGCAGGGAGGCGGTAGCTAGGGGCTGGGTGCGGACAGGGGGTAGCTCAGGGTGCGGGGAGGCAGTAGCTAGGGGCTGGGTGCGGGCAGGGGAGTAGCTCAGGGTGCGGGCAGGGGGGTAGCTAGGGGCTGTGTGTGGGCAGGGGGGTAGCTTAGGGTGCAGGGAGGTGGTAGCTAGGGCCTGGGTGTGGGCAGGGAGGTAGCTCAGGGTGCGGGCAGGGGAGTAGCTAGGGGCTGGGTGTGGGCAGGGGGGTAGCTCAGGGTGCAGGGAGGCAGTAGCTAGGGGCAGGGTGCAGGCAGGGGGGTAGCTCAGGGTGCAGGCAGGGGGATAGCTAGGGGCTGGGTGTGGGCAGGGGGGTAGCTCAGGGTGTAGGGAGGCGGTAGCTAGGGGCTGGGTGCGGGCAGGGGATAGCTCAGGGTGCGGTCAGGGGGTTAGCTAGGGGCTGGGTGCGGGCAGAGGAGTAGCTAGGGGCTGGATGCAGATAGGGGGTAGCTCAGGGTGCAGGGAGGTGATAGCTAGGGGCTGGGTGTGGGCAGGGAGGTAGCTCAGGGTGCGGGCAGGAGAGTAGCTAGGGGCTGGGTGCGGGCAGGGGGGTAGCTAGGGGCTGTGTGTGGGCAGGGGGGTAGCTCAGGGTGCAGGGAGGCAGTAGTTAGGGGCTGGGTGTGGCCGGGGGGTAGCTCAGGGTGTAGGCAGAGGAGTAGCTGGGGCTGGGTGTGGGCAGGGGGGTAGCTCAGGGTGCAGGGAGGCGGTAGCTAGGGGCTGGGTGCGGACAGGGGGGTAGCTAGGGGCTGGGTGCGGGCAGAGGAGTAGCTAGGGGCTGTGTGCGGACAGGGGGTAGCTCAGGGTGCAAGGAGGCGGTAGCTAGGGGCTGGATGCGGACAGGGGGTAGCTCAGGGTGCAGGGACGTGGTAGCTAGGGGCTGGGTGCGGGCAGGGGGTGAGGGGTGGGTGTGGGCAGGGGGTAGCTAGGGTGCAGGGGGAGTAGCTAGGGGCTGGGTGTGGCCAGGGGGTAGTTAGGGGCTGGGTGCAGGCAGGGGGGGTAGCTAAGTGCTGGGTGCGGGCAGGGGGGTAGCTCAGGGTGCAGGCAGGGGAGTAGCTAGGGGCTGGGTATGGGCAGGGGGGTAGCTCAGGGTGCAGGCAGGGGGTAGCTAGGGGCTGGGTGTGGGCAGGGGGGTAGCTCAGGGTGCAGGCAGGGGGATAGCTAGGGGCTGGGTGCGGGCAGGGGGGTAGCTCAGGATGCGGTCAGGGGGGTAGCTAGGGGCTGGGTGCAGGCAGGGGGGTAGCTCAGGGTGCGGGCAGGGGGGTAGCTAGGGGCTGGGTGCGGGCAGGGGGGTAGTTCAGGGTGCGGGCAGGGGGGTAGCTAGAGGCTGGGTGCGGGCAGAGGAGTAGCTAGGGGCTGTGTGTGGGCAGGGGGGTAGCTCAAGGTGCAGGGAGGCGGTAGCTAGGGGCTGGATGCGGGCAGGGGGGTAGCTCAGGGTGCGGGCAGGGGGGTAGCTAGGGGCTGGGTGCGGGCAGAGGAGTAGCTAGGGTCTGGGTGTGGGAAGGGGGGTAGCTCAGGGTGCGAGAGGGGGTAGCTAGGGGCTGGGTGCGGGCAGAGGAGTAGCTAGGGGCTGGGTGTGGGCAGGGGGGTAGCTCAGGGTGCAGGCAGGGGGATAGGTAGGGGCTGGGTGTGGGCAGGGGAGTAGCTCAGGGTGCAGGGAGGCGGTAGCTAGGGGCTGGGTGTGGGCAGGGGGTAGCTCAGGGTGCGGGCAGGGGGGTAGCTAGGGGCTGGGTGTGGGCAGAGGAGTAGCTAGGGGCTGGGTGTGGGCAGGGGAGTAGCTCAGGGTGCAGGGAGGCGGTAGCTAGGGGCTGGGTGCGGACAGCGGGTAGCTCAGGGTGCGGGGAGGCAGTAGCTAGGAGCTGGGTGGGGCAGGGGAGTAGCTCAGGGTGCGGGCAGGGGGTAGCTAGGGGCTGTGTGTGGGCAGGGGGTAGCTTAGGGTGCAGGGAGGTGGTAGCTAGGGCCTGGGTGTGGGCAGGAGGTAGCTCAGGGTGCGGGAGGGGAGTAGCTAGGGGCTGGGTGTGGGCAGGGGGTAGCTCAGGGTGCAGGGAGTCAGTAGTTAGGGGCTGGGTGTGGCCGGGGGGTAGCTAGGGGCTGGGTGCAGGCAGGGGGGTAGCTCAGGGTGCAGGCAGGGGAGTAGCTAGGGGCTGGGTGTGGGCAGGGGGGTAGCTCAGGGTGCAGGGAGGCAGTAGCTAAGGGCTGGGTGTGGGCAGGGGGGTAGCTCAGGGTGCGGGCAGGGGAATAGCTAGGGGCTGGGTGTGGGCAGGGGGGTAGCTCAGGGTGCAGGGAGGCAGTAGTTAGGGGCTGGGTGTGGCCGGGGGGTAGCTCAGGGTGCGGGCAGGGGAGTAGCTAGGGGCTGGGTGCGGGTAGGGCGGTAGCTCAGGGTGCGGGCAGGGGGGTAGCTAGGGGCTAGGTGCGGGCAGGGGGATAGCTAGGGTGCAGGCAGGTAGTAGCTAGGGGTTGTGTGCAGGCAGGGGGGTAGCTAGGGTGCTACCTCTTCATCCAAGCCTGGCCAGGATGTGCTGCAAGCCAAGGAGGGAGCTCCCTGGAGGGAGGGCAGCTGTGATCTGTTCTATTGTGTACACCTCAGGCACGGCCCTGGGTTCATGGGAGGCGCAGCCTGCACTGGGCCGAATCTGCGTGAGCCTGCCTCAGCCTGTCAGTCTGCACAGCAGCCCAAGGGGTGATTGCCGCAAGGGAAGGACGCCTATGCTAGCTGTCCCCGCCCTAGCGCAGCTTAAAATACCAGTGATGATGCGGTGGCGCCAGGGACCGACTGGCTAAGCAGCAGTTCTGCAGAAAAGGACCTAGGGGTGACAGTGGACTTGAAGCTGGATATGAGTCAGCAGTTTGCCCTTGTTGCCAAGAAGGCCAATGGCATTTTGGGCTGTATAAGTAGGGGCATAGCTAGCAGATCGAGGGACGTGATCGTTCCCCTCTATTCGACATTGGTGAGGCCTCATCTGGAGTACTGTGTCCAGTTTTGCGCCCCCCACTACAGAAGGGATGTGGACAAATTGGAGATAGTCCAGTGGAGGGCAACAAAAATGATTAGGTAGCTGGGGCACATGACTTACGAGGAGAGGCTGAGGGAACTGGGCTTATTTAGTCTGTAGAAGAGAAGAATATGGGGGGATTTGATAGCTGCTTTTAACTACCTGAAGGGGGGTTCCAAGGAGGATGGAGCTCGGCTGTTCTCAGCGGTGGCAGATGACAGAACAAGGAGCAATGGTCTCAAGTTGCAGTGGGGGAGGTCTAGGTTGGATATTAGGAAACACTATTTCACTGGGAGGGTGGTGAAGTACTGGAATGGGTTACCTAGGGAGGTGGTGGAATCTCCATTCTTAGAGGTTTTTAAGGCCTGGCTTGAGAAAGTCCTGGCTGGGATGATTTAGTTGGGGATTGGTCTGGCTTTGAGCAGGGGGTGGACTAGATGACCTCCTGAGGTCTCTTCCAGCCCTGAGATTCTGTGATTCTATGACCCTGGCAACAGCCATGCACTGACTGTCCATGCGGAAGCCCTGGCCTACACGTCCGCACTGCTGTCCAAGTGCAGGGAAAGCGACCTGTGCTGCAGGCAGTGTAGACGCAGCCTTAGAGACAGCCTGGGCCGCTGCGCTGGGGAGCTCTGTGCCTTCCCACAGTGCTGGCGGTGGCTCAGGGAGCTGAGTGCTTCTGGCTCCACCAGCCTCCCCTGACCCACCCTGTCTGTAGCAGCGCAAAAGAAGCAGCAGAGATCCAGGGCTCAAGGGGGTGCACTCTGCCCCACCCCCAAGCGCTCCTGTACCCCCTGGTCTGCTGTGGGCCGCACCCTGCATGGCAGGAATTGGTAAATTATAAGGCCAAAAGGGGCCATTGTGATCAGCGGAGAGGACCAGATTTGTGGGATGCTTCCCATAGCTGATGATCATCCCTGGGTCTGGGAGTGGCACGGCTGAGCCTCCTGCCTCCCGTCACTGTGACCTCATTCTCTCCGGTGCTTGGGGTGCACAGAGATGAGGAGGCAAATCAAGGGAGCCCCAGCCAGGGCAGCTGGCGGGGATTTCTGTGGTGTTTAATTCTCAATCCTTTCTGGCTCTGAGCAGGGGATTGAGTGTGTTCGCTGAAATGAAGGGCAGTCACATGGGGACTCGGCACAGCTGGAGCAAGGGCTGCAGCCACCCAGGGAGCGAGGTGCCTGCTGCTGTTTCCCTTCGGCAGGGAGTGACTTGTGGAAAGAGTCGTGAGGCGTGTAGGTGCTAGGGAAGCACCAGCACCAGAGAGCCAGGGTGACCACGACCCCAGGGCGGCCCAAAGTTCAGAATAAAGCCCACTGGGTCCCAGGTTCAGGTTAGGGGAGGCTAAATGCCTTGTGGAGTTGATCTGTGATGAGACCGCCTGTTCCATAAGCCAGCTGGTATCTGCTGTAGTGTTAGCACGTGCATGTGTGTGCACAGGTGTGTCCGTGACTGCGCACGCGCGTGTCTGGGTGTGTGCAGGGGGGGGTGTTGCATGCAGGCGTGCTCATGCATATTCAGGCATGTCTGTGCACGTGTGCGACCGTGGGGATGCGTATGTGCGTGTGTCTGTAACTCCACCTGCTCACGCTCCGCTGCCAGATCCTGGCTGGAATATGTCACCACTGCTCAGGTGAGCATTAGACTGTAAGCGTCTCTCTCCTGGGTGGAATCCCACCCATCAAAAACCTCTTACCAGTGGCCGTTAATGGAACTCCTCCTCCCAGTCTGCCCCCTGCCTCTGCTTCTCCTGGGCCCCCTCTGGCCTTGGCATCTTCCTTGAGTAGCACCATGCCCCAGGTTTAAGACCAAATAACTGCTGATGTTTCTTCTCCCCAGAGCCTCCTGTTAAAGCTGGAGCAGGTTCCTATTCACAGCCTGCAGCCTGTGGGGAAAAACTATCTATAAGAGACAGATTCAGAAACTAGACACCTGTGTCATGCCGGGCTATGAAGAGACGGGAGCAGCCCTGTCCCCATCCCCACTCTGTGCCGCTGCTGCTTTGCTTCCAGGATTTTAAGGTTTTGATTAACAGCAACCATTCAGACCGCGTTCCACACTCTGCCGTGTCCTGCTGCAGTCTCACATGCCACGGTTCCTGAGAGGGCTCTGGACTCTGCTGCTGTCTCCGCTCGGCGCAGGTGACTTTATTGAACGCTGAGTGCATCATCAACGTCTAGCCAAGAAGAGCCTCTTGTGTAGCGGAGCTGGTGCGCTGACAATGCTCAGGCTATGGAGACAGAGGCAGGGAGGTGAGTGGGCCGAATGGGGGAGACAATTGTAAATCTAGGAGAAAGCACCCACCCTAACAACACTTAGCACGCCTGTGACAGTCCAAGCGCTTGTAGAGATTCAGAGATTCCAAGGCCAGAAGGGACCCTTGCGATCATCCTGTCTGATCTGCTGCATAGCACGGGCCAGAGACCTGCCCCCACAATAATTCCTGGAGCAGAGCTGTTAGAAAATTCTCCTGTCTTGATTTAAACATTGCCAGGGATGGAGAATCCACCGTGACCCTTCGGAAATTGTTCCAACCGTTAATTACTCTCACTCTTAAACAGATGCACCTTATTTCTGAATTGTCTAGCTTCAACTTCCAGCCATTGCTTGGGTTAGACCTTCCTCTGCTAGACTGAAGAGCCTATTATCAAATATTTGTTCCCTGTGTAGATATTTGTAGACTGTGATCAAGTCACCCCTTAACCTTCTCTTTCTTAAGCTCAATAGACGCAAGGAGCTCAGTCTCTTTGATCATTCTCGTGGCTCTTCGCTGAGTCAGAGTCCCACTTTACAGATAGGAAAGCTGATGCAGGGAGAGGGAACGCAGCACAACAGAATGAGGAGTAGAATTGCAGCCACCAGACAAGGGCTCCAGAACCTTTGTAGAAGTGGGTGGGCCACCGGTGCCAGAACCAGGGGGGCCATGGAGTCACACCCCCACACACACTTTTTAACGTGGGCATAGTTTGGGAGCCAGAGGGTGTCATTGCCCCCCCAAACTGCAAGCCTCAGGCAGGTACAGAGCGGCGCCGGAGCTGATCAGAGGAGTGATGTTCTGGGACAGCCTTCCAAAGGGAGTAGTTGGGGTGAAAAACTTACCTTGTTTTAAGACTGAGCTTGATAAGTTTACAGAGGGGATGGGATGATGAGGTTGCCTACAATGGCCTATGGCCCACCTGCGACTCCTAACGGCTGGCGGTGGGACGCTGGCTGGGGAGGGCTCTGAGTTACTGCAGAGAATTCTTTCCCAGGTGTCTGACTGGTGGGTCTCACTGACATGCTCAGGGTCTAACTGGTCCCCAGATTTGGGGTCAAGAAGGAATTTCCCCCCAGCTCAGATTGGCAGAGACCTTGGAGGTGTTTTGCCTCCTTCTCCAGTGTGTATCATGGGTCACTTACTGGTTTGAACTAGAATAAATGGTGAATTCTCTGTAACTTGAAATCTTTAAACCTTGGTTTGAGGACGTCTGTAATTTAGCCAGAGGTTGGGGGTCTGTTATTGGAAGTGGTGGGCGAGGTTCCATGGCCTGTGGTGTGCAGGAGGTCAGACTAGATGATCATGATGGTCCTGTCTGGCCTTTAAGTTTGAGCCTCAGACCGGGCCAGTGTCTAGATGAGTGACACTGGAAAGAAAGGAACCATCCCAGGCTTGGCTCAAGTGAGGAATTTTTCAGGCACCCTGTAGCCTGAGTGTCCAAGGCCAGGAGCCTCACACAAGCCATAGATACCCTTTACAGAGGACAGGACGAATGTGTAGCCAACTGGCTGTGGGCAGTCAGGCCTAGTGGTGGAAGCAAGAGTTTGGCCTACTGGTTTAGAGATGGGTCCAGGGTGGGCAAAGTCCAGGACACAAGCTGAGGGTCATTACCAGAGGGAAAGAAGCAGAGGCCGGAGCTGGGAGTAAGCAGGAGCTGTAAGCCATGGATCGAAGCCATGAGGGGAGCAAGGGCTGGAACGAGGGCAAGCGCGCGATAGGTGCGGTACACGTTGAGCAGCTGCTGAGCTGCTGTCGGGGCTGGGCTTGTAAGCAGGGCTGCCACCCCAGCAGCCGCTCAGGGGCTGTGGCCAGGCTCTCGGTTCCCAGGCAGGGCAGCGGGGCTCACTGGCTGCCTAGCAGCACAGTTAGTCAGGGAGCTGGCCAGCAGTGGGTCCGACCTGGCCAGACGCCACACAGAATGGCAGCATGACATGGGGCTGGAACTGGGGTGTTCCCAGCCTCTGGCGCAGGATGGGCTGAGACTGGGGCCTCCAGCCCCACTCCCCACCCTGCCTAGCTGCACAGTGGGGGGCTGCTTTGCTAGTCAGGGGCATTCTCATCCTCTATTAGAGGAGACCTAAAAGCAAGGCACTGCCCCCTCCCCCAAGCACTGCAAGTCACAGGGCACTTTGCACACAAGACAGGTGCTAAACCTGGTGTTCTGGCCAGCTGCCAATGGAGATAGGAAGGTGGAAATGCAGCTAACGCATCCCCCTCCCACACCAGCTCTCCATGGGGATATGGATCCTGCCCTTCCTGGCCTATGCTGCTGTCTGGTGTTGCTGTGCTGTGTTAACCAGCTGCCTTGGTCTACTCTCCAGGTGGCTGCATTTCAGGAACAGTGTTAGGATATAGATATTCAGGTCTGTCTGTAAAGGCCTATACTCTAAGAATTTAGGTGTATTCTTATCACCTGGCTAGTTATAGAGGTACAAAAGAAAGAATCAAAATCACTGTCTGCCGGTGTAAGGGCCTTCTCTTACTGTGACAATTTGAGGCCCTGTGCTTAGGCTAAGGCCTTTGGCTAAGCAGCAGAGGCAGCCATAAGCTAGGAAGCGACCGGTCACCTCCTCACATTCCAAACTAGTCACATTGAAATAAGGTGCTATTGGGCTGTTAGGCACTATCAGGACAGGATTGTATCCTATCATCTCCAGAGAAAGGGAAGTGCCTAGAAAATGTAAAAGGAAACTTAGTTTGATAGCATCCTGTCTGGCAAGAACTCACTTATCAATAGCTGGGATGTGAAATCCTCACTTCTGTATTGTTTTGTCATTATAGTTCCTACTTTGCTATTGTTTGTCTGTATAATCTCTGTCTGGTTCTGTGATTGTTCCTGTCTGCTGTATAATTAATTTTGCTGGGTGTAAACTAATTAAAGTGGTGGGATATAATTGGTTACATAATCATGTTACAATATGTTAGGATTGGTTAGTTAAATTTCAGGAAAATGATTGGTTAAGGTATAGTAAAGCAGAACTCAAGTTTTACTATATAGTCTGCAGTCAATCAGGAAGTGAGGGGGGTGGGTGTGTGTGGGGAAAATGGGAACAGGGAATGGGAGTAAGGAAGTTGGAATCATGTTTGGCTAAGGGCAGGAATGGGAACAAGGACACAGGTGTAAGGCTCTGTGGTGTCAGAGCTGGGAAGGAGGATACTAAGGAAGGAAACTGGAATCATGCTTGCTGGAAGTTCACCCCAATAAACATCGAATTGTTTGCACCTTTGGACTTCGGGTATTGTTGCTCTCTGTTCATGCGAGAAGGACCAGGGAAGTAAGTGGGTGAAGGAATAAGCCCCCTAACAAACAGGCATAGAGATTCGTCCCTGTCTACACCCTCTAACCTGCCTTGGAACCAATCATGATCGTTGGACATCCAGCTGGGAGCTGTAGTCAAGGCGATTCCCCTCCCGCCCTGCCCAGCAAAACCCTGGGAGCCAGAAGCAGAGTCGAAGCACCAGCTTTACGGGGCGGATTTTCAGCTGGGCTCTGCACCCATTTTTCTCTCTCTGTCTCAGTGTGTTCTGTTGCGCCCATCACCACAGTGTCTGGGTACCTGCCACAAAAATCAACAGCAATAGCAAAGTCCCCAGCAGATTCCATGGAGTCTCTGGCTCTTCCCCCTTGACAGGGTAACAGTTCTGCCGGTGGGGGGGCGGGCGTGTTGTTATTAATTTCCTCTCTTTGGTTGGTGGGGGTTTGCTGGGCAGAAGGGGCCATCGGTTTTGGGAGTATCACTCGGGTGGTGGAAAAGCCTTTTCTAGGTGGGACTCTGGTTGGCTCCAGGAGCTGTATCCATCCTCTCAGGACGTGGGCACACACAGGACCTGTACGGTCGGGAGACAAGCTGGGAGCAGTTTGAATAAACTCTTGATTGTATTGTGACCCTTAACCTGCAGAGACTACTCCAGAACCTGCTCCTTGAGCTGGACAGCGGCTGTTGTCCTAGTACACTGAGGAAGGGGAACGTCTGCGCCAAGGAGCAGAGTAGATACAAACACTCTCCGTTCTGCGGTCCCGTAGGTCTCTCTGCGTCTCGTTCTCCTGCAGAGTACAGCCACGCCAGGGGGAGGCGAGAACCTGGAACTTCCAACGCACGGACTCAGCCCCTCACGCTGAGCAAGATCCTCTGTTAGCAGGGGAGGGAAGGTTTCAAGGCACAGACAGGAGTGCGTGGCAGGAAAGTGGGTGCCTGTGACAATCTGCCCCCTGGGGCCTACGACACAGTTGAGCAGTTTTGTTTCCATTCGATGTGTCACACTCCCCTCTGCCTGCTAGTTACTATTACCCCGTGGTTACTCTACCATCCTCCTCTCTCTGCACCTTCACAGCACTGCGCTACCGGTGATCACAGGACACTCTGGCCGCAGCCTGGTGCCACCACCCCTGGCAGCCCGCTTTGTTCCTGCCTCTGGCCGGGAACCGTGTGTGGAGGCTGAAGAGGGATACTGTGTTAGCAGCACAGGAAAGAATTGGCGGCCGTCGGGCGGGGTGGAAGGAAGGGGTGGGGATAACAGATGTGGACAGATGCTGGTACCTGAGCTGAGTTCCCACACAGGAGGACAGTGACTTTTCCCAGATAATTTTCCTGGCTTTTATTTGCAGGCGTTGACCTCCCAATGGCTGGAGATTGCATAGCAGCTGATGTGACGGAAAATGGGGCCGCTCGGTACTGATCTATGAACAGTGTAGGGGACCTGGTTACTAGGGCATTCAGTGTATGACTATATGTACAGGTGAAATCAACAGGGCTATGGAGAAAAAAACCGGACAGCAAAACAATGACTCAAGATAAAGCACCTCCCTTGAAACACGTCCAGGTGTTTAAGAGACAACACCTGAGCTATTACCTGTGAAGTTCCTATGAGCTGCGTGCCTGCCACGTTACACAGCTTGTTTTCCCAGTGTTGGCAGCCAACAGGCGGACAGGACCATAAACCATTAAAAAGCCTCTCTTTGTCTGGAGGTGAGAGAGGGCGTTGGGGAGCTGTTTCTGGGAACAGACTGACACACGGACACAGCTGGAGGTTTCTGAAGAAGCTAGGTCTCTGTAGACTCCCACTACAGGCGGCAGGGCTTTTGGGAAGGGGGACCTGCGCACAGACTGTTTTAAAATCCTTTTCCTCTTGTGCTTTGTTCCTGCTGTTCAGATTAAACCATAGTTTGGTGTAAGAAGCTGCCGGGTCATGGTGTTCAGGCCACAGACTCCTGAAGGGAGGAACTGCAGGGACCGAGCCCCACTGGATACACAGGGTGCAGTAGCCCAAGGTCCAACCTGAGTGGGAGAAGGGCATGACTCCACCCAGGAGAGGTGAAGGCACAAGGGGTGCACTCAGAGATACAATTAGTCCTGCAACCGTGACAGCCGGATTATTGCACTCCCTGGTAACCATGGGGTTAAACTCAGTTTCCCCCTCCCCTTGCATGGGGATTCAGGGAAGGGCTGTCGGAGCATCTTGGGAGATGGGGGGCGGGATGGTCAGGCCCTGCCCACCATGGTCATAGGCATGGGGTGAATCCCTGGAGGGCAGGGCCAAGGACACCAATTAGGTAGGACAGTGGGGGGCTGCCCACCTTCCCCCCCCCCCCTTTTCATACAGGAGGTGTGCTCCCAAGCAGAGCTCTCAACAAGTATGGATTGTGTGTTCTCCCAGCTGGTGCCCCTGGGGCAGGGAGGAGTCCATGTTTTGTTTACAAACAGTGGCAGGGTGATTAAGATAAGAAAAGGCTGGTAATTAAATTAAGGATCTGGAAGTGAACCTTTACAACAGAAAGAAAAGGAGGACTTGTGGCACCTGAGAGACTAACAAATTTATTTGAGCATAAGATTTCGTGAGCTACAGCTCACTTATGCTCTAATAAATTTGTTAGTCTCTCAGGTGCCACAAGTCCTCCTTTTCTTTTTGCAGATACAGACTAACATGGCTGCTACTCTGAAACCTGTACAACAGGAATCCCTCTGCCGGGTGGGAGTTGAACACAGGGGACTCAGAAGAAATACAGCCAAGTCCTCTGAGCCAAGGTTACATTCAGAACAGAAGGAGATGTGAGGGGCGCAGGTGAAAAGAAGGGGCTAACCCAGGGGAGGGCTAGCAGTGGCATAGAGAAGTTCCCACGCTATCTGTGGTACTTATGTGGCCCCATCACTGTAGTATCTGAGCACTTCACATCGCAGCCCCTCGGTGAGGTACAGCAGGGTTGTTATCCCCATTGTACAGATGGGGCACCGAGGCACAAAGAGACTAAAGGCTAGACTTTCAAAGACTTGTTTAGGCACCTAGTTGGATTTTCAAAAGCACCGAGAAGATTCGGTGCTTTATAAACCCCACTAGATGCCCAGTTACATCTTTGGGTGCCTAAAAACCTTTGAAGCTCTGTCCCTAAGGCACTGACTTGAGGTTATACAGGAAGTCCGGGGGGGCTGGGGAGTAGCACCCAGGTCTCTCAGGGCTAGCTCCCGATCCACTGGACCATCCGCTCTCTCTGCTGCATGCTGCAAAAAAGAGGCCTCTGGTGGATGGGAGCAGAACCAAGGCACGGCCCGTCCCCCGAGCTGCCAGCCCACAGCCCCAGATCGTTGGGATCCATGTTGTGGCTGACGGTATCAAAAGCAGCACAGAGGTCAGGAAGGCTGAAGAAAGAAAGAGAATGAGAATCAGATGAGAGGTGAGTACTTAACTCCCAGGGATGGCAGGTTCTGCCCCAGGCTGGTTGTACCGCAATACCTGCTGTGCAGTTTTAGATTTTAACTGAAAACCATTTTGCTTGGTCCTTTTTTGTTCTGAGTTTGAGAAAAGGAAGGAATAAGAAAGTGTCATATGAGTATCCGATGTGTTTATGCCTCAAATTCTTAGGGTTTCAGCTGTATTCAGGCCAATTCCATAACAAAGAACAGAAATTGCATCCACAGAGTCCATAAAAAGAACAGGAGGACTTGTGGCACTTTAGAGTCTAACAAATTTATTTGGGCATAAGCTTTTGTGGGCTACAGACCATCTGATGAAGTGAGCTGTAGCCCACAAAAGCTTATGCTCAAATACATTTGTTAGTCTCTAAGGTGCCACAAGTCCTCCTGTTCTTTTTGTGGATACAGACGAACAAAGAGTCCATAAAAATGACCATTATTGTCATGATTTGTGTTTATTCACTGGGCATGATCTATGTGCTCAGCACTGTTCAGAATATGCCAGAAAATCCAGTCCTGGAGCCAATGCGTGTAAGATGGCTTCGATATTTAAGTATGAAGTGTATAGTTATTGACCACACGTTATCACATGTTCACTGTGATGCTGATATCTCTGGGTGAAGGCACTGGTGACAATAGAAGTTTTACTTGATTAAGGACGAGAAGATTTGACCCCCCAACTTCCTTTCAAAAGGAAGAGCTGCCCCGAGCTCCTGTGCCTGTTTATTTTCCTTTCCTGCCTCCGTTTGCCCTGATCGACCGCAGAAGTCTCAATTTTTTTCCCCAACTTTAAAACATGGAATTTTCTTGGTGTTTGATTTAAAATATTCTCCTGTGAAAACTGCAACTCAGTCACTGTAGTGTTGTGTTTAAGAGCCTTCTGGAAAGTAACTAGTCTTGCCAACTCTCATGATTTTGTCATGACTCTCATGATTATTGTTTTCCTTAAAGCCCCAGCCCCTGGAGTCAAGCAATAGGTGATGATTTCAGCCTTCCTTCTTAAAGAAAAATGAAGTTTCTAGCCCTTGTGGCTGTGGAGAAAGCTTCAAAATGTGACCCCAGTGCCCCTTAAAGTCCCAAAAAGCAGAATGTAAGCAAAAAGAACACTCAATCTAGTATTTTTACATAATCTCATGATTTTTGGTGAGCCTGATTCTTGATTTTTGAACATTTGGGGTTGGCAATCCTGTGACAGTGACTTGAAAATGTCAGTTTCACTCCTGTTTAAAGTCATTTTCTAGTCTGTTGTGTGTAGTGAGGTAACACCCCTCCAGCCCCAGGCAGGTGCAGTATAAACTCAAGGTGCCTTGCCCTAGTAGGATGTTTCCAAAAGTTAAATCATCTATTCCAAGCTTGACGAACTGCAAAAAAAGGTGATAGAAAGTCACCTAGGCTTTTCTACAATTGTTTCAATGGTGGTATTCAAGAGTTAGTCACAAAGTAAGAATATAAATTTTTTTTTTAAACCTAACCAGTGTCCGTTCATTAAGTGTATTGCCACAAGATGTCGGAACAAGTATTAGAGCTGAGTGGGGCTAATGTTTATTTAATGTTCTTTCTTTATATAGGAATTAGAAATTATTATCTGCCAGGAGCACTGTATCGAAGTCGTCATCT